TTTGGCGATACTGCGACACAGGCAAAAGTTGTTGTTTTGGGAGAGGTTCAAAGAGCGCACATCAAAGAAGCAGGCCACCTTGGATACGTACTTTCAGTTAAATACACTAAAAAAGGAATAAAATCCGGTTACCTCAAGAAATTCCGTAATTTTGACGGTATTAGCCACCCTTGAACGACCTATACTGGGCACAACGATATACTGGGATTAACGTTACGACCCCCCCGTCCCCGGGGAATCGTTATGTGCAGGTTTAACAGTAGTAGCAGTATGTAATGCAGACATGTTTCAATCCTTCCTTGACTTGTGGACCCTTTCTAACCTAACCCACCAAACTATCAGTCACTAGCAGAGTAGCAGGTAAAAAGGGAATATCGCGGATATTGGAGTCTGCGAATGTGCTCCCCAAGAAGACTCGCGTTTTCGCAACAAGGAGTCGACATTGAAACAGCTTTGCGTCCAGTCAAGGACACCATGATAAGATGACAAGAGATTCTCTTTGTTCAATCAATCAATCAAGTCAATCGACCAAACTGCTCAAAACCACCGGCAAAATTACTTCATCAGCAAAGATACACTCACACGGACAAGAGCTGATATGGAAGGATAGGACATCGGAGACACCCGAGCGCCCCCCGGTCCCGTCTGTCCGCCACATGCCGGGCGTACCTAGTGTAAAAGACTCGAACAGGAGTCTACCGCGTCGTGTACAGGGCTTACCTAGGCCAAGCCTCATTGATACGGTAGGTACCCAAATCGACCAATCACCTCGTCTCATCATCTTGATTCGGGCAAGCCGGCGGGGCCGAACGGTGTCGGGTTGGCTAGGTGGGTTGCTTATCTCTACCTATGTAACGATGGGAGGATGGATGTCTTGTCTGGCCAAGGAGCTGAACAGGGTAGGGTAGCCTTTCGTTCTGAGGTTTCTTCATTCGGTATTTTTCCTCGTTTTTGGGTTCCGTTTGGGATTCAATGGTTTGGATACAGCAAGCGGCTCAGAGAGGATTAGGTGATGGGACTGTTTCCCCGCAATGCGCCAATGTATGTGCCCCCCACGCTTTTTGCATACGGAGGTGCATACATACGGTAACTAAAATCGCGTGGCAGTTGGGACTTGGGACTTGGGACTTGGGACTTGGGACTTGGGACTTCATTGGGACTTTTGGAGTTACCTCGGGACTGGAAGAGCTTGAGAAAGCTGAACGGTGAGGAAGGCCGAGGCCGTTGTTGTTCTTGTTGGTGAGTGGTGTATTGTTCATCAGCATAGAAATGTTTGACATTTGATGCCTGAAGGGGGGGGGGGGGTCTGTTCTTGGGTGTATTGAAGTTAATGCATACATACTACCTGACCCTTTGGGTTGACGAAGCTGTCGAAGGAGCCGTCCGAGTGGCGAGAGCGGTATCGGCCGTGGACGGCGGGATATCGTGAGATTTCCTACGGTTTTTGATGAATGGGAAAGCTGAAAATTTTGGAAGCTCAACGCCCTCTCAGCACTCTCAGACAAGACGAGGCGAGAAGAAAGTATCGTTACACGTTAAAAGAGCATGCAGGGACCCGGGGACGTCTCCATCGTCCAATGCAGCAGACGGACCCAAGAGATCTTCTTCACTTCATCACCGTTGCAGCCGGCAAAGTCATGTTCCCAAACGACGGACCCAAGGCAACGTGGTGTGGGCAATATGCGAGAGTCGAGACGGCTCTGAGCGTAATGGTTGCCGGACTCAATCCGTCGGGTCGGCTGGGTCCGGGCGCATTCGAGGGTGCAGCATTGGTGAGAAGCAGGAATTAGGTAAAGCAGGCAATCGATATCAGTGATATCACTTGTTATCGACACTGCCTAACTGGTGTTAGCGTTCAAGTTGGTGTTTTAGCGTGTTGCTTATCTGGGGCGCCCACTCGGGGCTATCACTTGCTTGCAGATGCATGGCGGGTGGGCAGTGGAGCCGGCCGCCGATAAGATCTCAGGGCTCTTTTGGGGAAAGCCTTGGCACGACAAAAGTATTTTACGCAGCCAGGACGGCGAGAGAATATTCGTCCTCCTCTTGAGGTTCGAGGGGGGGGACCGCGCTCGTCTGAACGGATTTGTTGGTTGCCCCCCCTCGGCCATCTGACAGTCAATCAAGAACGATATATCACCATCCCGGTGCCGCATTCCAAAGTCATCCTCAATTCTTAGCTCATCTCGTTGTTAGTCGCCGTCTCCAATTGGCTCACCAGAAGCCCCTCATATATCACCACCCTCAACCACCATCGCCACTATTCCCATCGACAATAAACCCCTTCCGACAACCCATTGAGCCTTAGCATCACAAACCGCAGCCATGGATGAGGACCAGGGTCCCTCCCACATCGCTCCTCATGCGATACCAAAGAGGACCATCGGCGACCGAGTGACTGGCTTCACACGAACCCTCGCCCACACCTTTCTCACCAAGGATGGATGGCTAGGCGACTATGACTATGGCTTTCTCTTCAGGCCCAACCTGCCCTTCATGAGAAAGATCAACAAGCCCGCCATCTTCTTCGGCCTCAACGACAGGATGCCCGTCCTTCTCGCCCTCATCCTCGGTTTCCAGCACTCTCTCGCCATGTTGGCTGGCATCATCACTCCCCCCATCATTCTTGCCGGAGGAGCTGGTGCCAACTTCACCGCTGAACACTCGCAATACCTCGTCTCGAGCGCCCTCATCGTCTCCGGCCTGCTGTCCTGCATCCAAATAGCCCGGTTCCGTATCCTGAAGACGCCCTACTACATCGGCACCGGTCTGATCTCCGTCGTCGGTATCTCCTTCGCCATCATCCCCGTCGCCATCGGTGGCTTTAACCAGATGTACGCCAACGGCATGTGCCCCACCGCTCAAGACGGCACTCGCCTGCCCTGTCCCGACGGCTACGGAGCCATCCTCGGCACAGCCGCTGTCTGCGCCTTGCTCGAAGTCCTGCTCTCCTTCCTGCCACCCAAGTACATGCTGCGCATGTTCCCGCCCATCGTCACCGGCCCCACCGTCATGCTCATCGGCATCAGCCTGATCCAGTCCGGCTTCCAGAACTGGGCCGGCGGTTCTGGCTCTTGCGCTGCTGCCAACCCCCTCCCCGAGTACATGGTATGCCCCAACGTCGGCGCCCCTCACGCTCTCCCCTGGGGCTCGGCCGAGTACTTGGGTCTAGGCTTCCTCGTCTTCGTCACCATCATCCTCTGCGAGCGTTTCGGCTCCCCCATCATGAAGTCCACCAGCGTCATTCTCGGTCTGCTCGTCGGCTGCATCGTCGCTGCTGCCTGCGGCTACTTTGACCGCACCGGCATCGATGCCGCTCCCGTCGCATCCTTCATGTGGGTGCATACCTTCAAGCTCACGGTGTACGGTCCACTCGTATTACCATTGCTAGCAGTGTACCTTGTCTGCGCCTGCGAGGCCGTCGGTGACATAACTGCCACCTGCGATGTCTCCCGCCTGGAGGTTGAGGGTGAGATCTACGAGAGCCGTGTTCAGGGCGGTGTGTTGGCGGACGGTATTAACGGTATCCTCGCCGCTCTCTGCACCATCACGCCCATGACGACTTTCGCTCAGAACAACGGTGTCATTGCCTTGACCAGATGCGCCAACAGAACCGCTGGTTTCTGCTGCTGCTTCTTCCTCATCATCATGGGCATCTTCTCCAAGTTCGCCGCCTCCCTCGTCGCCATCCCCGCCTCCGTCATCGGCGGCATGACCACCTTCCTCTTCACCTCCGTCGCCGTCTCGGGAATCGCCATCATCACCCGCGGCGTGCCCTTCAACCGCCGCAACCGCTTCGTCCTGACCGCCGGTCTGGCCCTCGGCTACGGCGCCACGCTGGTCCCCACCTACTTTGCCACCTTCTTCACCTACAAGGGCGACAACAAGTCGCTCCAAGGTTTCCTGGACGCCATTGAGCTCATCATGGAGACCGGCTTCGCCGTTACCGCGCTGTTCACCATGTTCTTGAACTTGGTGATCCCCTATGAGTTTGAGGATATCGACGATCAGAGCGTCGAGGGTCATCCTACCGGCGTGGCGCTTTCCAAGGAAGGCACGGTCGCGGGTGTGGTGGCGGAGAAGGGAAGCTTTAGTGCGAGCGGGGTGGGTAGTGATGATATTAGGCCGGTGGAGAGCGGACCGGAGAAAACGGTTAAGGAGGCTTGAGTCGTTCGTTAGCTCTGTGGGTATGGGTTTGTTTGCATGACAAAAAGGGGTTCCTTTAACAGGACTTTTGTGGGTTGTCTGGGTTTGGGTTTCTTGTCTTTTTTCTATCTTTCTTTGTTGCTGAAATATGCCGTTTGAATGATCTATAATCTGGGATGGTTGGGTGGGTAGATTGTGTATGATGGACGGACATAGATACCACTGGGGACTCCGGCACTGAAAGATGTGTCACTCCTGGACTTGAAAGATAGCCAGGAGGAGGATTTGTACGATGATGTGGGATCGACGACGGATGGATGGGTTAATGTTGTACACGTATATACTTGCAAGGGAAAGGAAAGGGTGGCTGACTCAACGTGGCAGTCCACGTATGAACATAAGAAGACATGAACTCAATGGTCCTGGAACATGTCTTGGTATGTGATGGTGGCTAATCGACTGAGTTCTTCTTCACAGGTGTAAGTGATTCAAATTGTCCGCTTTATTACACAAAGATACCCGGGCCTGTTTCTCAAATGTCAATTAACATGAATTGAACTCGATTAGAAACCTGGCGTTGGAGGTTGCCAACAGGCCTGAAATAAGATGGCACAAAAATACCCTACCATCAAGAAAACAGTTATTCTCAACACGGAAGAAGCTCGTAAACACTTGGAATAGAATTGTATGGTTGTTGAAGATATCTAGATGACAATCCTACATTTGCTCACTGACTGAAACCTGCAAAGCAACTGACATGAAATAACTCCCAGCAAGTGTTTGTTGGGGTTCCTAGTCATAAAAAAAAAAAAAAAAAAAGTTGACATATCCGACAAAAAAAGACAAAAAAAAAAGTGTGGACAATACCGGATTCGAACCGGTGACCTTTCACAAAGGCGCATCTGTTGGAATGCGAAGCGAAAATCATACCCCTAGACCAATTGCCCCTTGGAAGTTACTAGTACGAGCAAAAAATAGCCCTTATAAATGCCAAGCGTTTGGGCAGTTCCGTGCTGACGTCCGCGGGAGAAGGGAGACCACACCACTCACTTCCTGTCTCCTGTCTCCTGTCTCTGGTCTGGACCACCAATAACACAGTGGTAGGTAAATAGGCACTGGATGGGTGGGAACTTGCCGGCGATTTTGTCATTTGTTCAGTAATGTCTGAGATTGGTACGTCGCATTAGAGCGCAGAAGTTACTGTTCCCAAACTGGGGGGGGGACAGGTGTTATGAAGATGCTGTGAATGTGACTGGATGTCCTATAACTTCAACGCGGTTAAGCCTACCTGGTCCACATTACAGCCTCTGCCAGGTAGGTAAGATTGAGTTGAAAGAATCTCATGGAGAAATGAAGTACATAAAACCGACTAACTAACTAAATACGTTAACACAAAACATAGGTAACATGCCCATTGCGCCCTAAATCCACACTCCCTCCTGACGCTCGATAGGCT